CCCCAAAACCCCAAAACCCCAAAACCCCAAAACCCCTCTTTTTAATATTATGTTGGCAATACTTTCCTTTCTAAACTCTAGGAAGATAGTACTTGATGTCATTAAACTTGTCCTTCTTGGGCATAGTGCAGAGGTCAAAGACTATATGAGGGAGACTTCCTCATTCAAAACCAGACTGTTCAAAATTGAGACTTCTCCAGTTATACACAAGTGCATTAGCTGCTTTCCAAATTCTTTGTCTGTAGTTTAAAGCAGCTTTGAAGATCATTACTGGGATCGATCTGATGTCTACAAGCTTTTTAATCCACTTTGTGAAGACTTTAGGGAAATCTATAGTCAACTGAGGGCAGTCTTTAATAGCATTGGGCATATCCTTTATTAGCTTAGACACATGCACTGTAAGATTATCGATGTCAAAATTGATCATAAATTCTCTGATAATGGTATCAATATCAGAATAGATCACATCAGCATCATTAAGTCAGTATTGGACCTTTTCAATTTCTGTAGTGAGTGTCGCTCTGAGGAAGCCATTGAAGAATCTGACGTAGTCTAAGACGTAATTATACCTATCCATTCTCTTCAGTTTAAATAAGATCTCCAAGTTGTGGAAAAGAAGTTTCCCAGCGTTATAATAATCACCACTATCGATATATGTCTTATATTGTGCCTTGATTTCCTTAAGCTTGGGACCAATATGGAATGAAGAATCTTCAATAACTCTGTCTATTTTGTAAGGTATCTTAGCAGTCTTTTGCCATCTCTGGTACAAGTCAAATGCTGGGTCTTGAATGTTCGAGAAATTGCCCAAAGTTAAGTCATTTAATGCGACTGTGATGTCACTGGAGATCTCTTCTTTAGCCAATCTCACTTGCATTTTCTAAAGAAAATTAAAATGTGATTTTAGAAGATATAGAGCCACTCTAAAGGCAAAGAACAGTCTTTAAGATTTTTAGTATGAAGTCTGAAAGTGCTATAGCTCAAAAAATTAACTCTTTCAAAGTAGAAAACTTCTCAATAAATTTAATGTTATGTCTCAAATCTCCAGATGATGAATTCTTCAATTTTAAACTCAATAAATCGATATATTTAAAAGCCAAAAGCTAGTTTGGGAAAGGTTTTGCTGTATCATTCCCATGAGAGTATTACCCTCCACTAGATTATTCCTACCTCAATCTTATCACTTGGGATTTCAGACATAAATCCACAAGCGAATTGGCTTCTTTGGGCATCAGTAGTCTTACTTGTGGAAAGAGCGAGTATTCCGAAAGCAAGAACTAGGATTTGCAAATAATTCATATTTATTATAACTCTAAAAAGGGGTTTTGGGGTTTTGGGGTTTTGGGG